CCCCAAAACCCCAAAACCCCAAAACCCCAAAACCCCAAAAGAGGATTTTTGAGTTGAATTGGAGATTTTAAGTGCGAACAGAGATGCGGATTATGGACACTTCAGACTCTTGGTGAGTGGTGTAGGATCTTTTGGGGACTCTTTCTAGTGTGGTAGGGGTTATTTTGGTGGGTAGGAGTTTAGATTTTGTTTTAGATGATCATTTGATTACTATTGTTATTAGAAGAGTCACTAGAAGGTAAACATAAGCCTTACAGAGAATGATGAAGGTGATGATCAATGAATTAGATAGGATTATGAAGCTAAAAGTCTTAGTCACAGTTGGAGTCCATTCACTTTCTGAGTTAAATACTCACAGGAAGAAACTGAGTGTCAAGAAAATAAACTCATTAACAATTTCAATGATGTTATTTTCTACTTTTTCAAATGGTCGAGCAAATATCATGAAAAGAAAATACAAAATTTGGATAGCTGATAGTATTCATGCTAGATAAAAGGAATCAAGATTTTGTAGTAAGATAAGGGCTAGAATCATCATAGTCCTTCTTATAAGTGCTGCAAAGGAGTATATTCTGGAATATTTTGAGTCTGAAACTCCTGTGATGAACTCTGCTAACTTGTAGGTCTCATCTGGATCAAAGATATCTTTGGTTGAATAGAAGATATAGAAAGAGAAGAGAAGACAAGCTGTTCAACAAGCTACACATACAAAAGCGAACCCAATTGAGACCTGATATTTCAAAGAAGAAGTATCTATATTTGATATCTCTGAAACACTTGTAATTAGCAAAATTTGAAAACCTTCAATCATAACTCTGATAAAAACAGAAAAATTGAAAAGTTCCAGAATTTTTCTTGCAAGATTGTTTCATGAGATCTTCCGCTTGATCTCACTCTCTCTAACACATCATTTGAGGAGCATCACAAAAGGATAAACAGCAACTATAGCCAAGAAAGTTATGATTAAGTTTAGGTTGGTATAAATACTAGTCTTGGATTCAATCCCAATGCGGTGAAGGTACACGTCATCTTGCTCCTGCATGACCCAATCTTCAAACTCAGATATAAGGGAGCTTAGCCACTGGTAAGAAAGACATGTCAAAGGACATAAGGTCATTTCCAGCAATTATGTAGTTTATTTCTCCTGGTAGAGGAGTTCTAGTGAGGATTAGTAAGAGAAATAGCTGGAATTGGTTAACAAGGGACCAGATTCCTGTGAGAGAAGACATATTTAGAATAGATACTCCTATGACAGCTCCCATGCTTATGCCAGTCGCTATTTGAGCACTAGTGGAAACTCCTTCTGACATTGATGTTGACTCTAGATTTGACTGATCCCCACATCTTGAAATTATACTGCTGTCTTCAAATTCTTGGTTAAACTATGCAAATTAGATATTAAAAATGACAACATTTTTGTCATGGATTTTGAAATATGAAAGGAATCAATTTTTAACAATTGCTTACTTTTCACTTGTTTCAAAAGCTTGGATCTAAAAAATCATGTCAGAGAAGGAGGAATTCAATATTCTTACCTTTTTTAGAGTTTTTACAATAATATCCTTCCTCCACTTTTCATTCTGAGCTGCATCCGTCATTGCTACATTTTGTTAAAGTAATGATGACGTAATTAGTAGAAAGATATTAAGAAAATTTAATACCTATTGGTATTACTATCATCTCATTCCTTTGGATTAATCACGACTCCACTACCTCATAGAGGAGTTCACACACTTGCTCCATTTGATGTGCAAGTATATCCTCCCTCAACATTGCAGTTTTCATCTCAGCCGTCTCCATTGGCAGTGTTTCCATCATCTCATTTGAGAGGTGATACAAATCGAGGATTTTGTACTCCATTGCCTCACACTGTATTGCAAGTGTCTGGGTTTGAAATCGAAGTCCATCCTCCACAAACGTAATCAGTTTCTGGTTTTCAATCTGAGCTACAGCCATCATTGTCATCTGTGTTTCCATCTTCGCATTCTTTGAGAGCTGAAATCTTAATGCCGTCTCCACAAATAGGAGTTCAAGTGGTATTTTCAATCCCAGTTCAAGCAAACCCAGCTTCGAGTTGTCATGTGTTGCTTCAGCCATCTCCACTGGAACTGTTCTGATCGTCTCATTGCTCGCCTGTAGCATAATACCCATCTCCACATTGAGCAGGGAATCATTGATAGGGATCTTTGCCGCAGCTATAACCTGACTCAAGGAGTCATGCTTCATTGCATCCAGGTAACGTAGAATGTGAGTCGTCGCATTCTTCAAGATGTTCTCTTTGAACGATGCCATCTCCTCATGTTGCTAATGCTAAACCAAGATTAAATTCAAAATAAAACATAAAAATCTTTGATTATTTTTGGACTTACGATTCATGTATGAGAAAGAGTTGCCAAGTATTCCCAGATTTGTATCATCACGGAACCTCAGACTACTAACTATGAATTGAGAGCTGTCTCATCTCTGAAAACATCCAAGAGCATTTTTAGAACTTGTTAGACCAAGATCAGAAAATTCTTGTCCAGGAGAAAGAGTCTCATCTATTGAATTATATTGGTAGGAGGAGAAGCCAGATGAATTTTTGTAAAATGCGAACTTGTTCCAGCCAACTATATCAGATATTTAGGATATTTTAGGAAATATCAGATAAACCTTACTCTTAATTTCTCCTTGTGAATCTATTCAATTTCCTTCAAGACAACTAGCCATCCTAAATGCTGCTATAATAGTTAAAGTTATTTTATTGCCTATTTTTCGATTAATGAATTTAATAAAGCTTATCGTCAAAGAACTGAAATAAAGCATCAACATGACTAGCTCAATTTTAATAGCTATCTTACAATCCCAATAACCCTGAGCAATTCCAATATATTTTCTTCCAGTTCCTCCTGAAGTGTTCTATATTTGATCAGCTCTTAAGATACAGTAATGTTTCCCAGATAAATTCTGTTGATCTCAATATCGTAGAAATACACCCAAAGTTCAAATGAGTATCCACTTGAATACTCAAAATTAACAGAATGCTCAAGATATTTTCCTGGCTTCATTAGGACTCCTTGAGGGATGAAGGTAGGATTATTTGTTCCTCCTACAAATTTGAAATGAGATTACCTGGGAGAGTGAATATGGGAACCCCAGTCTCTCCTTCATTATTGCTAATTTGGGTGCTACTTCTATAAAAATTATCAAAATTTAGATACCCCAAATTTCTAACTCCCAAATCCTTACTCTTTTGCCATGAAATCATACGTCAGCTGCACACATAGTCAAATTCTGCACATCTGTATCATCACCACCAATATCCAATTTCTCTTCCTCAAAATTCCCTAAAAATCTTCATTTCCAAACTCCCCAACCCTCAGCCCCCTCATCCCACTCCACAGCCAAAGCCCGCCCTGTCCCTAGCCAAATTCAGTACGCAGGAACTCCTCTTAAAGAACTTACCATTAAGGATTACTCAAGTTTATTATTTAAGAGGGATTTCAGCACTCAGAGAATTTGGGGTTTTGGGGTTTTGGGGTTTTGGGG